TTGTTTATACTCGTAAAATCCCAATTATCATGCTTTCTTTATACCTTGATGACTCCATGTAAGGAGTGGTCGTGATCCCATGGTGAAAAGAGGGTTCTTTTTCTTTTTTTGGATGGTGGGCATTACTTGCAGCGGTGTGTTAATCATCTGCATTGAAGGACAAAAAACCAACTCTGGGTCTCTCGTGGTTGTAATTGTTGTATTTTTATCATTTGTGTAGAATTCAAGACTGATAGAGAGCAAAGGTTTACCAATTGATGGTCATGGATAATTTGAATACAATTTGAATAAAAAATAAGCTGGCCTTATTCTGACGGTTACGTGATTTTATGTTGATTTGTTTGCTTACATTTGTTTGTCCTGTAATAAGAGCACAGGCGCACACTTGCTTGCGTTGGTCAAAGAAATGATTCTTCTTTTGGACTTTTAGTTTTTGAAATGAATCTTAGTTTGACTTTGAGAAGCTAGATCCTAGATTCGTAAGTGTCTTCTTTTTTTTCAGTCAGCATGCTCATATCTTGTTCAGGATCAAGTAATAAACGAGCGTGTGGTGGTTATTGATTTAGTATTATATCTCGCTATGAATATTTACCTTAGATGGGGTCACGAATATATAGTGGCCAACCATTTATGGTAGCTGTGTAGTGTGATTAATGAACTCCATATTTGATCGCTTTTGGCAGAATCTAGTTCACATTAAGTGTAAAAGTCGAAAAAGGTGTTGCATTATCTTGTGAATCAAAATAGGTGTTACATTATCTTGTGAATCGAATATCATCGTAAATGAAGTGAATCGAAAAGGCTTACGTTGTAGCATGAGAAGGCTTAAGCAACCAAGTTATGGTATAGCATTAAAGTGAGTTAATATCTGAACAAAGAATGATGAGAGGTAAATTTGTTTAGAACTTAGGCAAATTAGGTTTATGATATATCCATGTTATGTTCTTGACTCGAAACTCGATATATAGCGACATAATTTGTGGCATGTTAGAGCTGTTTCTGTTTGATTCAATAGTTTGGTAGGACTACTGAAAAAATGACGTGCTATTAGTAGATGATGTTTTCTGTTAGAGCTGTTTCTGTGTTTATAGATGACGTTTTCTATTTTTATTTTTTTTTATGTGTTGATAGATGATGTTTGTAGTTACCTCATACGGGGTGATGTGCTTTAATTTGTTGCTTGAAAGCTAAAACATAGCAATTTTTTTTTTTCATTTTTTTTTCCTGCTTCCATTTTTGCTAGTCTGTATCGTGACACTAAATTTATTTCGTTTGCATGACCTATTTATTGCTCCTTTAGTTCTTTTAAGTTGGAACATGGAATATTAGTGTAAAATGGCTTCTCATTACTCATTAGGAATACCGAGTAAATATCTATATTTCGGTTTTCAAGTAGCTAGCTCAATTTTATTCTGCTAAAGATAATTGTTTCTGAAGTTACACTGTCTGGACTTGACAAATCGATATTTTTCTGGAATAGAATGCAGGTTTGTCGCTGTTCTAAAGTAGAAAATTTTTCCGCATCATTTTCATTTTCTTACTTTTCTTTATGCTGTGTAGTTTCATGAATTATTGCTGTCTGTGCCCTTCAGTTGTGAAATATTTACGAAACAATAGAAAAAGTTCGTGTCGAGTTTTCTGTCGGTGGAGCATGAAGATCTTGATGATCTCCATTTACTGACATCTTGAGACTTTTCCCTGTGTAGTTTTTTACATTTTTTTTTTGAATTTTCAGTCGCTATTTGTTAATGTATTGTCGGTCTATTTTCCCTCGTTTTCTCCATGAAATTTTGAGGTTATGTCGACAGTTTTCCGGTCATTAGAAATTGTGCTCTCTTACAACCATAGGAATTGATGGTGAAGTTGCATCCTTTACATACAGCTAAGTATAGAGCTATACGTGGTTCCTGGTGATGGTTTAGCTCTAATTACAAAACTACCCCTTAATTTTAGTGTTATCATAGAATTGACTATTTATGTCTGAGGTGTATGTTAGTTTCTGTAACAAAGTTAAAACTTCGGGGTCATTTTTTTATAGTTCTCCTCAAATGGTCATGACAGATTTTGCATTATCTTGTCTAGATTTGGTCGTTGGATAATAATAATCCATGATAAGTAGATTCAAATTCAATCATAACATCCGACATGTTTACTGTAATTTACTACTTTTTAAAATTTTTTTGTAAGAAAACAACATTTAAAATAAAATTATACATAATCCATTTTATGAATGAGCCATAAATACAAAGTAATAATAAAAACAATTTTAAAAGAAGACCATGAATCAACCACATATAAACCATAAAAGTTAGTATATTTATAATTAAAAGTAAAACTTTTGTAAATATGCAAATAAATAAATAGAGATTATAAATAAATTGTGTAATTTTCTCTAGATTTATTCAACTGATTCTTAGACTTAGGTGAGACTGGACGTGAATTATTTTTATTTTCGAATATATTTTTCCTTGGCTAATAAACTTGAAAAAAAAATGAAAAAAAAAATTGTTATTTAAGAAAATGAGATTTTGAGGTTATAAATAGACGATGGTTAGAGATGATGCAGTTTATAAATTACAAAATTATAAGGAACAATAATTAACGGTAAAATTTACGTGAGTTAAAAAATAATATTTTTTTATTGAAAATATGTAATGTTGTAGACTAGTTATTTTTGATTGTGTGAAAAAAAATGAGATGAGATGAAATTGAAGTTCTTCTGTTTTAACTAACAACTCAATGAGATCAATTTTTTACAAAATTAAATCATTTTCATATCCAATCGGACTAATCCTGTCAGGTGCATATGGCTTATACATGATTCGAATATGTATATTTATAATAAACAAATAATTAAATAAATATGATGAAGAAAAGAGTAAATGAAAATTAATTGAGAAGGAAGAAACCCAAAACTACACAAGAAGTAGATAATACCTTTACAAAGTTCAAGATTTTTTCAACTTTCAATTAAATTTCATTCTAAAAAGGAATAGGCTCTCTCTTTGGCCAAGATTCTATCTTCTGGAAGTACTTCACAGGCACAGCTCCATCAAAACCCTCTGTTAAAATTACCTTGTTGTCAGATATATACAGCTTCATTCCCTCTGTTAGTAGGAAAAACGAGATAGTTAGAAACAATGCCACACAAAAAGAAGCATGGAATCTCTTTTCATTTCCACACGAGCAGATATTTTGTTGCTTCATAGTTCGTACCTTCCAAAGCCTTTCTCACGTCCAGAAAGATTAAGACGTTAACATCTCGTCTCATACCTGAAAAAGCATGTCGAGCTTATCAACACGGATTATTCATCAACAAGCTTATATTCCAATGCACTAGATGAATATATACATCTTTGAAAATTTCAAATACCTGCTTGAAGTTCTTATTTCGTAACAAATACCTATCTACTGAAGTGCAGTTTGTAAAAGAGAAACAAATACATTGATGACATAAATGGGGGGTTTTGTTATAATTAGACTAAACCTCAACCGTAAATTCATAATTAGCTATAAAAGAAATGACAGATAGTATCATGTTGTATGATCATCAAATATATTACCACTAATAACTTCTCCATCGGTTGGCAAGCCACACGAGAAATGCACGTGTAATCTCTTCATGCGCTTGAGACCCCCCTCAAGAATTGACTCCAAGTTCTTCATGTAGGTCCCATGCACGCAAACTGATCGTAACCATGCATTAGAGGATGTAAAAAAGAAAAAAAAANGATGTAAAAAAAAAAAAAAAAAAAAGGACCCAAATCTCTTTTTAGAGAACAAAAAAGGAACAAATTTTAAAATTACAACCTGGAACTTCTTCAGCTGAGAGTATAGGTTTAAGCAAGCTCTCTGTTTCAACTGTCTGTCCAAATCATTCAGAACAAACAAAAAGTATAAATTATTTCAAAAAGCATGAAAACATGAAATGCTAAAAACCTATGAATAAATTAAAGAATTGGCCTCTTGAAATGATTTAAAGACAAATGTGTATATAAAGGTCAACTTGGAATAGTGAGATCATTTTTACAGCTCTTTAATGTCAGAGAATGTCATCCTACTGAAAAAAAAAATATATATATGGAAAAGTGGAACACTAACAGCACCAGAACATTTTACATAACAAGGTGATAACTCCCATATTCCTTTTCCTTTAGATACTTAAAAAATAATACATAGTACTGCCTTAATTGCAAGAGACAAAAGTTCAATAACCTGTATAGTGTGGCCTTGATTCGCACGTATTAGAAGCTCCCGGTTGTCTTCCAATATACTAAACCGCTGCTTGTTATCCCTTCTGACAGCCTATTAGAATATTATAAATTACAATTAAGTATTTCCAGCATAAAAGCAAGAAAACCAGCACCAAATGACATTTGCATTAATTAAGTTCGGAAATGTGTAGCCGCGTCACAAAACATGGAAGGTTGTTTCCTTATACTTTTTCCCCAGTCACAAGTATATAGGTGATCACTTGCATGCAAATATTTCACAAATAAATTTTAGGATTCAAATACGTGATCGCAATATTTTTCTAGTGAAGGAAAATGAGAGACGATCACAATCATTGTCCAAATAACATGTAAGTATCGAACATCCAAACTTAATAAGTGCAAGATGTCAAACCTCTTTAACATCATCGACTGTATGAGATCGAAGTGGTATATTAGCAAAAGTCTTAAGATTCAGTTTCAGAAGGTCTTGGACCTTGACATATCCGTCGCTCCTCATTTCCAAATTCAACTCTGAAGCCATGTGTCTCAATATACGCGTTCTGCAGTATTAATAACAAGAATAGCAAGGTGGATGAATTGTAACTAGAACAACATCTCTACTGAATTAACTACAAACATCAAGAAGCTAGCATCCACTTCACATTCGAATATAACCAAAAATTGATGAAGTTCGACTAAACTAAAGGAGATTTGGAAACAATCAAACTAGTATCAACATCAGTAAATGTAGGATGTACACTTACGACTTACACACTCATATTTTGAGAAACATCATTTTCCAGCAAAAAGAAATCACAACTATTGTAAAACAAGAGCAGCTTAAACTTCAAAATAGTTCATAGATTCCTTCAGGTCACAGCACCACTAACAGAAGATCCACAAAAACTGTAACCCTTATTAGGCAATAAACTGAATTCACCCTTTGGCAATCAAAATTTAATGTAAACAGAAAAACACGAAAACATATATGTTCATCCTCTACACAGGGTCATTTTGTTTTGCAACCAACCCTGCAAATGTAAAAGGCAATGATAACGTGCTTACAGTAATCTGCCAAGAGCATCGATTTTGTCATTCCCAGAAGAACTGCCGCCTCTTGATCTCCGGCGATTATCTTTCGTCTCCAATCCTCCGCCTCTACCCTCACCACCACTACAGCCACCAATTAATTTCACAAAAAAAATATTGGAAATAAAAAAAGAGAAAACGCAGATATATGAATAGCAGAAACCGCTTGCTCAACCAGTACTACACCGTAGAACGCGAAAAACTCCGTCGGAGGATTGAGGAAAGCAGGGATTACCTTCTGCTAGAATGGGCTAATGCGGTGAAAGTGGATTTGCCGGCGTAGGAATTGTATGGACTCGCCATGAATGTCGAGCTTCGTAATCTGGAATGCAACAGAGGATTAGGGCGGAAGAGGACGGGCGGCAGCGAAACAAGGCGGTTGCACAAAACCCTTGAGCCGGCGCCGGTGAAGGAAGCCAACATCTTATAATCTGTGACTGATTAGCCGTTGTGACTGGTGACGGCTTTCCGGGTCGGGTGGATTTAAGCCACACCGGATATTCGATTATATCTTCATTTTTTGTCCACAATATTGTCACTTTTCATTAAATAAAAAATAAAAAATAAATGAAAAAATAATATATAAAAAATAGTACATCGATCACAAGAGTCGGAATAAAATTCATTGAGCACCGTCCGACGTTCTTTTCAGGTGGATGATCCACCATCAGTTTCTTCGTGTCAAGACCATCCTACTTTCCAAATTTTATCTTAATTGAAATTCGTTTTGTCTACTCAATTTTTCTTAAGAAAATTTTGTTGTTTTCTATCGAGTTTAGTTCGAATCCTCCAGTGTCCATTTTATAATTTACAATAAAATTTGTTTTTTTCTAGGTGTCATTTTGGTGTAGTGTGACATTAGTTTTAGTCGGGTGAGTCATGTTGGATTTGTCTCATCGAGAGGACCGTACAGTTATATAGTCCTATCAATTTTTCTTTGCTACTTAATTTATTGTTTTTCTAAAATACTTTGACATGTTTCATGTTCAATCTAATATCAGTGTCGTCTGATGCTCGTTTCAAGTATGTAACTTACTATTTGTTTTTTCTTGTCGAGACAATCGCACACACATAAAATTTCAATTCAATTGGATTTCGTTTGATTACTTAATGTTTCGTTCAAAATTATATACATAAATTCAATTTTTTGTCTGTGTCCAGCCCTTGATAAATTTAAATAATCCTACCACCCTCCTTATTAGTATACATTTTTTTTTTTTTATGTTTTTAATAGATTAATGTGCTAAATATGTTGTAACGTAATGTTCATTTTCTGGAAATAGGCAAAATACATTAGATTAATAAATTTATTTTCTTTATTTGTAAACATATATATTAATACTTTAATTTTTCTTTTTGCATCTCCAATTCACTCAACAGGCGAATTGTCATTTACTCTTTAATATAATATAACTTGTTATTTATTTATTTATTTGTGCTAATTTTAGCAATAGCATATTCATGTTAAATTTTTAATTATTTATTGATTTGTAACGATTCTAAAACCTAAGAATTTATTGATGCTTTGTAAAAATGTTAAATAATCTGTAACGATTTCAAATATATTAATGTTAAATAGTTGAATACCTATATAATAATACAACATAAATAAATTACTGTGTGAGACGATCCAACCGTTAAGTTGGTCGACCCATCATACTTTTCTAATAAAAATGTATACTTATACTATAAAATTTCATACTTTTATTTATTTATTTTTTATAAACATGCAATTTCAATATAAAAAGTATACATATACGACCAATAAAACACTGGAAACCCACATGTTGTACGGGAACATGGGAATTATATAATCATATTTTGTTTGTACTTAGTGTCATATCACCTATTTCCTCTGAATTATGATATGTTGCGTTGCATCCTGGGAAACTAGTACGAATCCCGTGTGATGTACGGGTAAGAGATATTCACTAACATTTGTAAATTAAAAATACTCACTAAATAACACTTATTAATAAAAAATATAGAATCAATACATAATACAATTTATCTATATTAATTTATTGAAAATGTTATATCAAATTTAAATTGTGTAAAATTACATAAAAATGTCTATTTAAATTTAGTACAGAACCTGTACTGTGCAAGTAAATGTTAACATAATAAATTAAGTTATTTTTATTTCAAAATAAATGTCATTTTAAAACTTTTAATAAGAAAATTGATTTGACTATAATTCGATTCTATAAAATAATTATTTTGATAAAATTTTATCATATATTTAAAAATTTATGTGAATAATAAGTATAATTATAAAATTCATATTATTTAATCAACTAAAATGATTTTTCTTTTATAAACTGTCCAAATAGAAAAATTTAAGCAATTGAGTAATTTATAAACTATAAATAAGACTATTCCATTTACGTCCAAGTTAATATTGACCCGTAAATTATGAATAATTATTTATTTGACTTTTAAATTTGGAACCCAAATTTGGACTAAACCATAAATTTTCTAATATATATCATATATTACCTTATAAGTTTCTAGATTTGTTGTCGATTACCTTATCGTTTAAAATTTATCAACAAATTCTCTAGAATAAAATGTCAATTTTTAAATTTTATTAACCAATATTGGTTCGAAGATCTTTTTGATTTTCAAGAGTAATACATACCAATTTTTTGAATTATCATCAATATCTTATGGTAAGTTATTATGAAAATAGGCTAAAATTTTAGAATCACATCAGCTTAATTTTATAACAAACCAACCTAAAATTTGATTTTCCTAACCGTACCAAATAAAATTTATACCACTTATTCTGTTTCTAAAATTTTTAAATACACTTCTATCCATACCTAATAGAACTCATACCATTTAAATTCAGACATTTCACACCAACATAAAATTGCCCACTTTATTATACCATAAATTTGGACATCTATTAATATATAAAGAGGGAATGATAGTTGTTTGAAAAAATCAACTAAAAAATCAGCAAAAAAAAGATTTCAATTCCCGCCTAAAGTTTACTATAATGAGCAGGATTTTTGGCGAAAAAATGAATAAGTCCGCCAGTCATCAATTCGAATTTTTTGGAGATTTTATTTATTGATTTTAATCTATTTGGACTTATCTATTTCTACCATCTGATTTTTCTAATCCAAATTTCGAAAGAATAGATCGCATCCGCAGGAGAAAAAAAAGGAAAGATAATCTCGCTTTTGAATTAATTCCTCTCGTCTTATTTTTTTTCTTCTCTCAAAACATCTCCAACAGGACAACTGACAGGAAGAGGAGAGAGCTAGAGAGAGTGAATCCGGCGACAAGATAATGAAGACAGTCGCTATGGAGTACTTCGGGGAGGCAGAGGACCAAAGCGACGGCGTCACAGTGGCTATGGAGGTGGACGACGCCGACTCGTCCTTGGATCTGTTCGGAGAGGGTCCCATCTTGGACCTCCACAGTTTTGCCGATGCCGATTTCTTCAATTCCTTCCAGGATGATTTCGATGATGAAGACATCAACTGATGCGTAATTTGATTTTCTATCCCTAGCTCAATTAATCGTTTCTCGGAAAATATGTTGCAATTACTGGAAAAAATATGATGATAGGTTGGTGTTGATTTTTCGATATATATGAATGCTTTCTGTAATTAACTTATTCTTCAGCATGTTCTTTCTTCTCTAATCTGAATCTTGTAGTTGAGCTGTGTATTTTGTTGGTGATTTCAAATTTCGAATTGAATGGGTGCTTCTAATGCGATTTTTTTTTTAAAAAAAAAACATCTCCAACAGTCGGAGAAGCGAATTCGAGCGGAGTCCCCCTCATCGTCCGCCGTCGGAAAACACCAAAACCGACTGGGGATTTTTCTGTCGATCCTTTACAAAACCCTCCGCCCCACACACCTAGCCGCCCGTCCTCTTCACGCGCCGATTGCGACTGGCCCATCTTTGTGACGACTGCTCGAGACTACAGCGAGAACTTGGAATCTGATCGGCATGTGGGGTCCAAACTCCAAAGGCGACAATCCTTGCTAGTAATTTGATGTTCAATTTTACAAATTTTCCTTTTTTTTTCTTAAATGGGGTGTGTTTAATTTTCTTCAATTGGTTGGGTGATTTTGAGGAAATTGACAATTTTGAACATTTTTCTGTTTGTTACTGAGTTGTGATTTTTGTAATTGATGTATATATTTGCTTTACGTGTGTGATTTATAAATAGAATAATTATGTAGCATTCTTCATAACTGACAATCAATCTGTTATTTGTTGGGTATACATGGTGATCTTATATTGTGCAACGTGCAGTCTAGAGGGTTTGTTCTGATCTTGCTGTTATTTGGTAATTTCTGGTGGATGATTGATATACTTATGAGGTGATTTAAATCCTGCAACACTTTCTTAAGGACGACAATTGCACTGGAAACAATGGTTGAGATGAACGGTCCGACTGTGACGAACGGTGTCCTGGCAGTGCATTATCTTCAATCGAGTCTAAAAAATGGCGGCCATGTTCGATTTCCACTTCAGTTTTTGTTCTATATTCACAGCACTTTGGTGTCTGTGTGTTCTATTCTTTGCGGACCAAATTATTATATTTCTGTTTGATCTTTGTTTTGTATTTGTGGTTATTGAGGTTTAGAGTTTCAATGATTAATTATTATGGGACTGCATTTGTTATTTGTTTATTTTTTAGAAAGGGGCTTGGCTTGGGCTTTTTGAATGGTAGGTTATTTGGGGGAAAAAGGTGGAGTCTTTGTTGAGTATTCTGTGGTCTGATTCTCTTGGGGTGTATGTCACGCGTGATCGAGTGATAAATGAAACCATTGCTCCAAAGAAAATCTGTCTATAGCAGAAAGATGAGGGAGTACCTAACACGGTTATTAAAGAGATATCTCTTTTGAAAGACGTGAAACATGGGAATATAGTGAGGTTAAGAACTGTGATTGCGTGAAAAGCATCTGCCAATCAAAGCCGTAGGAGGCGTCGCTGCAGTCGGCAGTGGCTCTGCAGTTGGAGTTCAACCGAAGGGCGTCGAGAATCGGGTTTGGGATTCACCAATGTAGAAGATAATCTGGCAGTATGTGAGTATGTTTTCAGTTCAGGTATATAAAAGAAAAAATGAGCAATCAATGGGGTTAAGAGCTTATGATTTTAACTTGTTGGTTCTGCGCTGGGCCTTCAAAATTTGGGGTGTGTTTTCAGCTTAGGGCTTGTATCGTCGTATCGTTTAGAAAAATTGAGCAATTATTAAGATTGTAAGCTTATGATTTCAATTTTCTGGTTCTGGGCGTAGATGGAAATGAATGCTCGATTATCGAGCATTTTTTGTTGGATTGTATACACCGGACTATGCAGAAATTAGCTAAACAAGTTGGTCGACCCTTTNTTTTTCAGCAGCATGGCGTGCTAATCAATACAGTTGAAGTTGTTTATTTATGAAGTAAGGAAGCAACAATTACTGTCGGGCCTCCGGACATTCTTAAAAGTGTACTTAATAATCTCCATCCCGAAGCTGGCAGCATAACTGGAAGTGGGTGAACTTAAAGAGGTTAGAAATCCGAGCTTCAGGTCCATGCTTTACCTAATGCGATATAAATGTATGAAATTTATAGCATTGTTGAATTTTCTTTTTGCAGGACAATTTTGATGACGTACAAACACAAGACACATGTCGTGGATTCAGATGGGAAAATCACCTCCAATGCATATATCAACTTTTACGTAGTTGCG